CTCCAGATTGTTCACCCGGCCTATCGTATTTAGACAGACCTGCGGAGATAATAACATGCACAAAAGAAGACAGAGCAAAAACAAGCAACAAAATAAAACAAAACAACAACAAGCCAATGACAAAAAACAAAACACAACAAGAAAGAAAAGCTTGTAGTTAGTTCAAGGACTGTTTGTTGGCCTTTAGGAGTGTTGTTTGGTGCCATCGAGTCACCCCCGACACATAACAACCCTATGCACAACAGAATGAAAGAGTGCACAGTCCTGCGCCATCCTCACATTTGTTCCCATGCTTGAGTGTATGGTTGCAGCCACTTTGAAAATCCATCTCCTTGAGGGCATTCCTCTTTTTCGCTGCCCCTCCACTTTACTAAGCATGATGTTCTTCTCCAGGGACTGGTCTCTCTTGACAACAAGTCCAAAGTATGCAAGCCGAAGTCTTTCCATTCTTGCCTTGAAGGAATACTCTGGCCTTACTTCTTCCAATACAGACCTGTTTGCCCTTTTAGCAGTTCATAGTTATTTCAATATTCTTCTCCATTTGTACAATTCAAACGCATGAATTCTTCTATGATCTTCCCTATTCGATGTCTAACTTTTGTAGGCATATGATGCAATGGAAAATTCCCTTTCTTGGGTCAGGCGCACCTTAGTCCCCTAAATAATATCCTTGCTCTTCGATACTCTAAAGAGGTCTTTGTGCAGTAGATTTACCTAATGCAATATGTCTTTTGCTCTCTTGGCTGCTGCTTCATGAGCATTCATTGTGGAGTCAAGCAAGACAAAACCCTTGACAACTTCAAACTTTTCTCCATTGATCATGATGTTACCTATTGGTCCAGTTGTGAGGATTTTGGTCTTCTTTACCTTGAGTTGTAATTCATACTGAAGGCTGCAATCTTTGATCTTCATAATCAAGTGCTTCAAGGGGTCCTCACTTTCAGCAAGCAAGGTTGTTAATAATCATATAATAAGCAAGCATATGGTTAATAATGCTTCCTCCAATCCTGATGCTACATTCTTCATATAATCCAGTTTCTCTGGTGATTTCGTCCATATACAATTTGAATAAGGATGGTGAGAGGATCTAACCCTGACACACACCTTTCTTGATTTTTTTTATTGTTCAGCTTTTATTTCATAATCATAAACTTAACTCTGCTTTCCAGCTGGACTTAGAAGGGAATACGGAAAGTAGGAACCCTGAAGAACTGGAGTGAGAGTACAGAGACCTGTCTTGATTTTAAACCATGCAGTATTCCCTTGTTCTGTGCACAAAACTGCCTCTTGATCCAAGTTCCTCATGAGCACAATGAAGTGTTCTAGAATTCCCATTCTCCTCGGGGTAATCCACAGTTGTTGGATGATCTTAAGTAAAATTTTACTTGATTCCTCAGCCTAGAAGAATTCAAATCCTAACAGAAATGCTTCTGGTAGTACAATGTAGCTTCCCCCCGCCCCCCAGAGTCTACAATAAAGTAATTGGCCTCAAAGAATTTACAGACTAAAATCTGCTGAGTATTTCAGCGCTTTGAACCAGTTTATCCATAGCTAATGAATGGAAACTGGACTACACATGGATTTTTTAAGATTTAATGAAGTCGAGCCATAACCAGAATGGGGAAAAGTTATAGTCCAATGTACTGGAATAGGAGATTGAGAAGGAACGGAGTCCTTTCAGAATCCTGCTGTGAGAGATGGGATGATTGCCAGGACACATTCTAAGAAGCACGGGTAGTGACCATCTTTGAGCAGGCTATTATAAAGGGAGATTCAGTTTCTAGCAGGGCTTGAACCCATATATATTTTTTTCCATTCTGATTATTTTTCTAGTTCACTCACATTTTAAAAATTCAAGTTTATTCTAGTTGCTTCATCAGCCAAGACTGAACGTAAATGAACTGGTTGGAAGCCCTGGAGTATTGGGGTAATATTTGCCCTGTAGTTATCTCTTCAACTGTGGAGAAAGTACATAATAACTAGCGAGTTCTACTTCGTGACACATAACAAAATATTGTTATTATTACTCTATTATTATGTTAAAGATATTTTAGTGTATCTGCAAGTATTTACTCAGTGATTTTTGCATAGAAAGGTACACTATGTACTATGAAAATCATTTAAATAACACAGTTACAAACTCTGCCTAATTGTCACACAAATTTGACTGAAAGACAGTTAGACCTTGAGTTAGTCTGGGTAGACTAGAGAAACAAAATTCATAGACACTCATATTTTATAGGAGAAAGTTTTATATAAAGGGTAAGTGTATATTAAGGAAGCATCCCAACCCAGTGCTTTCCAAACCTACAAGTCCGACATTAGCTCATGTGTCTGACACCAATTTACAAAGCCCTCCTTCATCTCACAAAACACACGCAATGATGCCGACTGCAGGAGGAAAGCCGAATCAGTGAGCATGTAAGCATCTCAGCACTGGCAGGGGTCTCCACGTGGCTTCTCCAGCACCCAGGGCTCCATTGGGTTAGGTCCATGTGGCTTCTCCTCAGGCATGTCTCACAGGAAGTGAGACTTGCCAGCTGAGGCAGAGAACTAGCTAAGGCAGCCGCACACTGGTCCGACCATCAGAGAGCCAGAGACAAGAAAGGCTCACCGAGCCACTTATCTCTCCGCCCTTCAATTAGTCCCACATATGTTCATTGGCCAGGTTGCCACAGTAAACCTTAACTATCACAGGCTTTCAAGATGAACAGTAATGCTTCTGTTTAAGGAGGTATACCCACCTTACACTAATCAACCATCGGGAACAAAAGGGCAGCATTTGTCAGAGACAAAATTCAGAAATCAGGAAGGGATAAGAAAGGAGGAAAATGAAAACTGGAAACACAGGGAGAAAATGGGATGAGTGCTTTTACATTGTAGGGATTGCAATTAGTGTCATGAAATAAAGCGCATATGACTTGCTGAACTAATGTGTCTGTAAACCTTCACCCAAATCACAATAAAAAGTAAAACAAAAACATTAAGGAAAAAAAACACACCCAGATTTAAGAACAGAACTTGTTCTTAATCCAAGGACTACTTATATTAATATGGCTACAGTTTAAATGTGGAACATGTTAATCACAACAATGCCAAAGACTAATTGTTTTTTCCAGTGTTTTGATAGCCCTCCAAGTACTGTACACAGTAAATTACACTAGACTTATTTAACAAAGAAAATAAAGCTTTGTCATCGACCTATCTGCATATCCTGAGTTTAGAACTATAGCAGAGATGCTATAGATCCTGGGAATCTACTGTTAGTGAATGTGAATGTATAAGATGCAGCATTTTTCTTCCCTCAGGATTTATCCAGATCTACAGTGGATGAAGTGAATGAAAGGATATTAGTCCTTATAACATATGCTGGATGTGGAATCTCCTCCATTTTCCTGGGAATTGCAATCGTAACTTACATAGTTTTTCAGTAAGTTGATAAAATTTCAATTTGAGGAATTTTGATGGATGCTTTTGTCATTGTCAGCCTATTAATTTCACAAAAAACAATAGTAAGGCCAGATTCATTAGAGATTACATAGTGGAGTAAGGTTCCTCTAATAAGCAAATTGTAATTGAATTTAAAAGCAAAACAAAACAAAAAAGTAAGATGGCTAGGATAGGAAATAATCTCTCTACCAGTATAAAAAGCACTAACCATAAATAAAAAAAGGCTGATGAATTGAACTTCATTAAAATTAAGAACTTGCTTCATTAAAATATATCATTAATACATATGTAAAAATGTGCTTAACACAGTGAATGTGCATATGGGTTGTGATAAGAGCTTTAAGAGCCCCCAATAAAATGATTGATATATAATATATATAATTAAATATATATTTATAATTTATTGTAACTATATAATTATTAAATATATAATTAATGTAGTGAAAAGTCAACTTTAGATTGGGAGAAGATATTTGTCACATATATGTATCTGGCAAAGGACATGCATACAACATATATATTAAGAACGCCTATAAATAAAATAAAAAACAGACAATACAATTAAATATGACCAAAAGACTTGAACAGGCACTTCACATTTAGCCATTCCTAACCCTAACCCCTACTCAAATTGCCAACAATCATGTGACAATGTTTTCAACATCATGACTCTTCATTGATATGGAAACTAAAACCACAACCGTATAATTACTCATCAGAATGGCTAAGATTAAAAATATCTATGAGACCAAGTTATTGTGAGTGTGAATAGATGAACCCTTGAAATTATTGCCCTGGGATTGTCTTTAAACTTTAAACCGAAACCACCCCCGAGTCTTCTTAATACCAACAATCATTTAGCTTAACTAGTAAAGAATGTCTGCCTTGATTATTGTGCTCTTTCAAGATCTGTCTATATGGGATGAAATTGACAGCAGTAACCCAAAAGGAAACTTAGGGGATAGTGAGTTTCTATTTCATTTGAAAAATGTAATCATTGTCATGTAGAAACTTGAATTGGTGTATGTTTTGCTGTTCATATTAATAACAACATAAATATAAATTTAAAGTACCTGCAATACCAAAAGTATCAACAAAGATGTGGAAAAACTGGAAATGAATTCACATGGCCACTTAAAGATAGGTACAAGGACATTTATAGCAGCTTCATTCATAGTAATAAAAAAGTGGAAACAACTCAAATGCCCAACAATGGTTGACTAAATGAATAAAATGTGGTATGCGCGTAAAATGTAATATTACGCTGCAGCCAAAAAAATGATGAACTGCTACAGTATCAGTACAACATGGCTAAATCTCATGGACATAAGGTTGAGCTGGAGGAACTCGAAAATGAGAAGAAACTTTATGGTTCCACTTAGATCAAGTTTCAAGTACATGCAAAACTAAATCTATGGAAATTAAGGTTAGAATATTACCTACCTCTTATGTGGGGAATTGAATATAAAAGAGCTATTTGAGGCATCTGACGTTTCGATACGATTCTCTCTTGATGTGGGGGATGAACCAAAAATGTATACATATATAAAGATTCATCAAGTGTTATTCTTAAGATTTATGCATTTTACTATTTACCTCAATAAACCAAAAACCACATATGCATAAAATGAAAATTGAAGAATTTTCATTCATATATATTTGAGGCAAATAAAGAAACAAGGGGACACTTTTTATTTTGGAAAACATGCCCACAAGATCAAATTGTGTTCCCTTAGTGTTCCCTTAAGGATATATATATATATATATATATCCTTAAGCTTCATATATATGTCACATGGCTGGATTTGGGGAGAAACCAGTTTGTAATATGTAAGCCCAGCCTTGAGTCTGCTGAAGCTGTGATGCTAGAATGACAGTATTCAGGAAACTTGCTCTCCTTATCTCCAAAAGATAAAGAGGCATTGCCAAGAGGCATGAGACGATTTTATTCCTGTGAATGTAGGTCACAAGGAGCACTGGTGGTACAGTGGTTCAATCACTCACCGGTTGACTTCAAGGTTGGGCCTCGCTCCCTGGGAGAAAAATGTGGCATTGTGCTTCTGCAAAGATTACAGCCAGGGAAACCCTGTGGAGCAGTTCCACTCTGTACTACAAGGGGTCTGTGAATTGGAATTGCCTAGTGACAGTGGGCCTTGTAGTGCCACTATACTTGAGATACTTTGACTCTACCTAGGGAAAGGTGGGAGATTATAAACTTCAATACATGTAAGGCAATAGGAATACTTTCATTTTAATAGGCAGTTTTTATTCTTTCACATTAGTAGGCAGAATATATAGGGAAATGTATTGTGTGACCACCTTCCACACATAAACGCTGAAGACGAATGTGTGCATAAATAAGTGTGGTGAAGAAGGCTGATGGTGCCCGGCAATCGAGACCTATAGCATCTGGGGACTTAAAGGCTTGAAAGTAAATAAGCGGCCATCTAGCCCTGAAGCAACAAAGCCCACATGGAAGCAGCACACCAACATGTGTGATCATGAAGGGCCAAAGGGACCAGGCTTCAAACACCAAAGGCGGGGGTGAGGTGGGGGGGACCATATCCTCGTCAATGAGGGTGGCGCGTGATGGAGACCCAATGCCAATCTCTAGATAACTGGACATATCTTGCAGAGGGGTAGTGGGGAGATGAGCTACTTAGGGTACAGAAACCCACAACCTTCAACCTTCCTCTAGTTCTTAAACGCTTCCTCTCCCCAACTACCAGGACCCCAATTCTGCCTTGCAGACCTGGTTAGACCAGATGATGCACAGCGGTACAGATGGGAATTGGAAACGCAGGGAATCTAGGACAGATGAACCTCTCAGGACCAGGGGTGACAGTGGCGATACCAGGAGGGAAGGAGGGTGTAGAAAGGGGGAATTGCTCACAGGGAGCTACATATAACCTCCTCTCTGGGGGATGGGCAGCAGAGGGGTGGGTGAAGGGAGACGCCGGGCAGTGTAATATAAGATACAATAATAATTTATAAATTATCAAGGGTGCATGGGGGAGAGGGGAGGAGGAAGGGAGGGGGAGGGGGAAAAAGGAAAATGAGCTGATTCCGGGAACCCACGAGGAAAGCGAATTTTGGGAATAATGAAGGCAACAAATGTATAGATGTGCTTTACACAATTGATCTATGTATTGTGATGAATTGTATGAGCCCCAATAAATTGATTAAAAAATAAAAATGTGACCTAACTTAATATTGTATCTTTCTGGTAGTAAACTTCGAAAAGATCATCCGTCCAAAATCCTGGTCAACTTGTGCACAGCACTCCTGATGCTAAACATGGTGTTTCTGGTCAATTCCTGGTCAGCCTCATTTCAGAATGTGGGTCTTTGTATCACAGCTGCAGTGGCTCTTCATTACTTCCTGCTCGCCTCCTTGACCTGGATGGGCCTGGAGGCCGTGCACATGTATTTTGCTGTAGTCAAAGTCTTCAACATATACATTCCAAATTACATCCTTAAATTTTGTCTAATTGGCTGGGGTAAGTAAAACTGCCATTATCCGTAGTGTCTTTGATTTAAGCCTGAGTGTCTTTCTAGTTCTAGCTCAATTTGACAAATTATTTGGGACCAAACTCTGTTATAGATAAAGAATTAAGAATTTATTTGTGGGGATTTGCTCGTGTCTAATTTTTTCCTGCAAGGTTAGCTCTGTAAACTCAACTTCTAATCTTTGCAGTGGGGAATTGGCCCACCAATAGGTATTGAATGCCTGCTTGTGTACTATACTAAATTCTAGATCGACAGTCGTGATCCTGTCAGATTTGATCCGCTCTGTCACAGCAGTTACTAAGCCAAAAAGTCAAACAAGCAATCTCGCTGCCATTAAGTAGATTCTAAGTCATTGTGCCCCTACAGGTTAGGGTCAAACTGTCCCGGTGGGTTTCTGAGACTGTGATTCTTCACAGGAGTAGAAAGCCTCCTCTTTGTCCAGCAGAGTGACTGTGGTTTCAAACGACTGACTTGGAAGTTAGCAGCCCAACGCATAGCTCACTACACAACCACAGCTCCTTACAGAAGTTAGAGTCTCAAAACAAATACGCATACTTACTGATATGACGGCTAATCCCTAGGTAGCACTTACATGTGTCGGCTATTGTTCTAAGGGCTTTACATACTCATAGTAGCTCAATGGAAGAGGTTCCACCGTTATAGCCATTTAATAGATGAGGACACTGAAGGCCAGAAAATTTAGGTAATTTGCAAAAAATTGAGCAGCGAAATCTTTGAATCTGGGAGTCTGCTTCCATATGTTGTATTCTTAGCCTCTATAATGCAGCCATATGCTTTGAAGGAACAGTGAAAAGGATTGAGATATGTGAACGGGTGTTGGATCAGACTTGACCTGACTCATTCGTCCTCTTGACTGTGAATATCACTTCTGCCCTGTGGCAGAAGCCAGGGCTGGGAATCGAGAATGGACACTCCCCATGGCCTTTCATTGGCTTGTTTTCCTGTGTTTCTAACGGACCACAGTTACCTCAGGTCTCCTTGCCCCTTGTCCCGAACATATTCTGAGTTCTGAAAATGCATGGGATACATAAAACCAAAAAGCAACCTAATTGCCCTCAAGCCCACTACAGAAACCCTATGACACAGAATAAAACTGCACCTGTGGGTTTCTGAGGCTGTATGGGAGCAGGAATTCTCATCTTGTTCTTACTGGGGGATTTGAACCACTGACGTTTGTGGCAAGCAGCCTAATGTGTAATTTACTATGCCACCAGGGATCCTTTCAGGAGTAATGCTTATTCATAAATAAGTATATAAATAATTTTGTTTGCACAAATATACAGAAAATTGGATTTTTAAATCCCATGCCTACACTCATGTCACATTTGACTATTTTGACTGAACTGATTGTTTCGTTATAGAATTGACTGGTCTTTAAATGGTTGATGTAGTAAAAATGTCAACATAGTAACAAATTTAGAAACTGGTTCCTTGTCAAAAAGGCAGTGAAGGAAGAAGTTGATTGCCTACATCTTTCCTTCAGGGTGACCCAGACAAAAAGATCCAGCAAACTAAAGGGCGGCATTGAAAGGGAGAAAAATGTGGCGGCCCATCATATGAGAAGAAATGCTGCCTGCAAACTTGCATTCTGATAAACTTCGTGTTTCTACCTTCAGGTTGATTATTTTGGGCACTTGAACTATTTTTAACAACCAGTGGGTGTTGTATTGAAGCCATTGGCATGCTGTTTTCTTTAGCAGATTGGAGAATTCCTGAACATGTTTAATTTGAAGAAATTCACAAACATTTCGCAAACAATGGTATTTTGGTGGCCCACATAGCTGCGGCTCATTTAATGTATCAACACCCACATCATTGTTCAGGAGGGTTTCACTGCTTCCTAATGGAATAACTTTGGCTTGTTTTCCCACTCTAGGGATCCCCGCCATTACCGTGGCAATCATACTCAGTGTGAAAAAGGATTTGTATGGAACTCTGAGCCCAACGGCTCAGTTGTAAGTATAAGTCTCTCTGCTTCTCACAGGCGGTGACTTCCCTTCCCCTTTAGAGTATGGTGGAGTGTTCCTGGCCTGGGGTTTGCTCTTAGTGCTGGTTTCAGGGAGCCTCAGCCTCAGCCTTTCTCACCTACACACCATGCAGTCCAACTTACATAGCAATTAGGAGCCTGGGCACTGTAGGATCTTGGACAAGTGACCTTGCCTCTTATTTACATGTTTTCTTTTGCAAAATGGGGGTTACACATGCATTTTTCCTGTATGGCATGTGAAAATTAAAATGAAATCATGCATGTATGGTAGTTTAGCGTGGTGTCACAGTGAGTGTTCTGTGGCTGACAGTTCTCAGAAGGTTGGAAGCAGGTGAGATGGCTACTCTGAGAGGAGCTGTAAAACATTTTCACCTTTTAACAAGAAACGTGTCCACTTGAAGAAGAGCCATAGCATTCCTTTGTAAACTATCCCAGCTTTCTCGTCTATTGTTTCTTTCTTTCTTTTTTCCTTCCTAAAATTTTTCACCCTTGATCTATAAGATGAACTCTTTGGTTCTGTCATTCATAGTCACAACACAGTAGCAATTCACTTAACCTCCACGTCTCCAGGACCTTCTGTTACACAATTTCATTTCACATGCTTGAATGTCTTTTACTTACCCATATCCATTCTCTTTATTGTAGCCTCTTAAAATTTCTTCTGCTATTAATTTCTTCTTCCATCAGACTAGAATCAAATCTAAGAGGTCCTACCATTAAGACCCCTCTCTCCCCCCGCACCCACCCATTTTCATATTGAGATAACAGTGTCCAGGGGGTCAAAATTAATGCCCTCCTCAACTGATGCCTTCTAATGAAAATTCCTTATTATCCTTTCTCTTCCCCCTGTGTTAGTCTGGGTTGACTAGAGAAACAAATCCAGGAACACTCATATGTGTATAAGAAAGAGCTTTATATCAAAGAATAATTGTATATTAAGAAAGCATGCCAGTCCAGTTCGGATCAAGCCCATAAGTCTGATATTAGCCCATATTTCTGATACCAATCTATAATTTGCTCTTCAGACTCACGCAACACATGCAATGATACTGAATGCAGGAAGATCACAGGTTAGTGGGTGGAAAGTCTTGTGGATCCAGTGGCAGTGGAAGCATCTCAGCACTGGCATGGATCTCCATGTGGCTCCTCCAGCTCCAGCGCTCTGGTTCCATCAGGGTTCACCATGTGGCTTGTCAGCAGGAAGACAAGCAGAGTGCCACTGTGTATCTGGCCTCCAGTCAACTATCTCTGTCATGCCTCCAAATGTGGTCATCAAGCTGCGACCTGATTGATAAGCTATACTCTACCCCTTCACAACTTGACAGGAGATTATGTAACTGCCATACCCCTTATATCAGTGGTTCTCAACCTGTGGGTAGTGATCCCTTTTGGGGTCGAGCAACCCTTTCACAGGGGTCGCCTAAGACCATTAGAAAACACACATTTCCAATGGTCTTAGGAACGGAGACACCACTCCTCTATTTGTCTTCAGGCGGGTCCACCCACATGCAGATACGCCCACATATGAGTACCTGGGATGAAGACTGTCAAGACAAAATTTCATTTGTCATTAGAAATAAATATTTCACAATCTATAACGACATACTGTTTTTGTGATGAATCACTATGCTTTACTTATGTTCAATTTATGACAATGAAAATACATCCTGAATATCATATATTTACATAACGATTCATAACTAGCAAACTTACAGTTATGAAGTAGCAACGAAAATAATTTTATGGATGGGGGTCACCACAACATGGCATTAGGAAGGTTGAGAACCACTGCCCTATATGCTTCCTTTCCTTTTCTTTTTTTTAACATTTTATTAGGGGCTCATACAACTGTTATCGCAATCCATACACACATCAATTGTGTAAAGTGCATTTGTACATCATTC